AAATAGTTGAGGTAAACCACCATTCACTGGGGACTATTTATTAGTAGAGCAAATATTTGAGTATAAGAATAAGAGAGAGAGATTTATTTCATTAGCGGTTATCGTTTTCAGTTGGGAGTCGATTTCAAACAGCATTTTAGCTAATGTTTATTTTCTTTATTAGAGAAACATTTCACACAACTTTTATATAGCTTTTTCAATCTATATATCTTTGAGTATTTTTTTTTTTTTTCATTAAAAAAAAACGTATCTTTCATATTCCACAAAATACGATTAAAACCCAATCAAAGTTCGCCTTGTAGCACGGGTCCAGTCACCACTCCCCTCGCTCTTCCTCTCAGCCATCCGATTACACGATGAGTCAGCGAGGAGAAGATTGCTGAGGCAGTCTTTCAATCCCCAGCAACACCATCTCCTCATGCCCGCAATGCCACACATTTAATTGCATTATCAGCCTGACTCAATTAGCCATGGATGTACACTACATACCGCAGACATACATATACAGAGAGCTACAGATTCATGGATACAGATACATATAAACCTCATCGTTGCTTATCTTTTTAGCTATTTGCGGTTCTCTTTCTTCTCCAAGCCAAGAAAAAAGAAGCCAAAGAATCATTATTAGATTAGAATGCGGCATAGATATCAGCGATGGCTATTTCTAGGCAAATATTAGATAATACAAATTCTGGTATATATTTATCCATCTTTTTGCTACAAGTATTCCCCATGCAAACTTTCAGTTTCCTTTAATAGCCTCTGGGCCATTAAAATGTAGCCCTAATGGCCATTAAAACGCACTGGGGTAATCCCCTGTGCGCTGTGAGCCACAAGGGGCGGCAGGTACTCCATCGGCTCTCATTACAGAGTGCGTGACCTACCGCAACTGTTGCGAGGAAAGAAAGAGTGCTTCAAAATAGAGAACAAGTCTCAAAGCCCTACAAAATATGATTCATCCGTAGAGCAGTAGAAAGAACCACATAAATGTAGAAACTATCATTGATAAAAATGCACAAAAAAAAATCATTTTCAAAATCAAATCTTATCCACACACATAAACAGAACTCTTTGCACACACACAGACAAACCAATACATTGAAAACAGGAGAAAGGTGGACGACCTCGCCACGGGATGCAGCCGCCACAAAACAAGCAACAAAAAAAGAAAGAGAGGGAGAGAGGGAGAAAGGGAGGCACCTCTAAAACAACAAAAACAGGAGTAAAAACAGAAGCAAGAAAATAACAGGAAAAACAGAGAAAGACAAAAAAAGCCCAACAAATAAATTGAGTAATTAAAAGAATATTCTTGAATTGATATAAATATAAAATTCAATAGCAATTTATATTTAAAATAAATACATTGAAAGTATTTTTGAACTCATTAAACATAAATCGAGAGATTTTTTTCCTGTTTTGTGAGCAGAAAAAACTGAGGAAAACCAAAGCAAAACAATGGAAAGAGAAAAAAAATTTGCAAAAATATTAGAGAGAGAGAGAGTAAAAAAAGGATACAGAGAGAGAGAGCGAGGAGAGAATTTCTTGTAACAGCGAGAGATGAGCGGAGGAAATAAATAGAGAGAGCGCGGCTGCCCGCCCAATGGTAGGCAACACTTTTACGACCGTCCGACAACGCGGCGTATGCGTAATGTGAGCAAAAGAAAAGCCCTGCTAAAGTGGAATGACGGAAAATTACAGTTTTGTTGCACGTCTCCTGCTCCGTGCCCCTGTCTGACGTTGCCCCCTCTCTCACTCTCTTCAAAAACACACCCTTTTGGGTGCACCCCCCCCAACCCTTTTGGACAGCTCCAACGACTTCCTGACGTTCAGGCAGCACCATCAGCAGGCATGAGCGCTATTTATGGCGTGGCAATGCGTACAAGAGAGCCCCCAGAGGGGCAGGAACAGGCGGGGTGTAGAGGCAGTGTCCTCCTGCAGGGGGGTGGGTGGTGCTGAGGGCTAAAGTGTGGCAGGAAGCAGCCAGTAGACGGACATACATATAAATTTAAAATGTATTTCGAGGTGAGGAAAACAGAGGAAAACAAGGGGCAACTGTGTTTAATTTGCCTGCTTTTCCACTTAGCCCCCGCTGTCCCAATCTCTCTCTCTCTCTGCCCTGTCCCTATCTCTCTAACCCTCACTTTCTGCTTCCCCATCTTCTTTACTCGCATGTTGCATTTACACAACAAATTTCCTTCATATTATTTTTTCCCACTTTTTGAAATAAAAATATTTTTGTTTCGCTTTCGTGGGGGCGGAAAAACTTGCAACAACTGAAAATGTTTTTTCCTTTTTTTTTGTGCTCTCTCTGTGTCTCCCTGACCCGCTCTCTCCCTTGGGTCAAGAGTTCTCTTATTGTTTTGTTTACAGAGCAAAAGTTAATTTCCACTGCATTTCATTTAAATTTTTGTGAACTTTACAAAAGGGAAATGGAATGAAAACTAAGGGAATAGGACGAAATTATAATGCACTGACTGTGAATCTATGAGGCATCCATGACTCCTAGAAGCTTTGATGTCTATGAAACACTTTTAGTCTGTATTTCCATTGAATTTCCGGACTTCTTTACAGTTTTGCCACAAACTAAAGTTAAGGAAATATGGAATAGATCTATTATAGAGCACTACCTTCGGAACACTGCCTTTATTTTTGACTACTTTGATATCGAATTAAACTTTATTCAACCAAATTTTTATTGAGTTCTTAGTTTTCTTAAGCATTTAAAATTCAAAACAAAATTTAAAAAAAATACGAATAGTCCTGCTATTATGATATAAACTAGTAAATATAGCCCTATGGCTATGGAAGATGTTCCAAGGTATCAAAAATGCAATTCTTGACAACATCCCGTGGGATGTCAGAAGAATTTCCTTTCCAAAAGTCATCCTAAAAGTCTTAAATATGAATTCTTGGCAAGGCTAATATTCATCATTTATTTTGTGACATATTTACTCAAATTTCCATCAAGCTCTTTCCCTTACTTCAGCCTCCTATCAGCATCTTTCCAACCAAAAACAAACGATATTCCGTTTTCTGTTTAAACTGTTTGGCAATTCAAACATTTACTTCCTCGTAGATTAATATTTGTTTACTCCGGTGCAGAATATTCGTACCCGGCATTCTCCTTGGCCATATCCCCATAACCCTCCATCACCCTACCCTGCCACACGAATCGAAGCACAAAAAGCGAAAGGTAACACACAAAATACTAAATGAACTTGGGAAATGGTTTTCTGGTCGAAACATTTAGTTGCAATTACTTTTTATTTTTTTTACTTTGTTTTAGATAGTTGATTCACTATATAACTAAGTATAATTTGTGGATTGGGTGCTATATATTATTTAGATATTATTATTAAATACATTCGTAAATTACGTATTTCTATAAAGCACTCGAATACACGCCAACACACACACACACACACACACAAAAACACACTGACACACGCGCGAATGCTGATTCAATGGGGTACAGTAAACCTCTGTAAGCCCCACTTGGGGGGTACAGTAAACCCCGTTTGGATCTACACTTAAATCACACTTAATTGTGCATATTTCTTTTGGTTATTTCGTTCACATAATATCGGTATTTCTGGGGGATATAATTTGCTGCTATATTTTCAGACGCATCGGTAGGAGGACAACGCGACGCGTTTTACTGTTAACTGACGGCCGGAATAAACGCCAGACGCGATTTAAGCGGAATAGAGTTTGCTATAAAGCATGTGTGCCATAATCTGAGAGAGCGGCGGCAATAATAACAAGAGCACAACGCGGAGAGAGAGAGTGAGCGCACAAGCAAAAGCAACAACAAAAAGCGTCATTCCACAGAGAGAGCCAGAGAGCACTTGTTCACATGCACTTGCTCTCTCACGCCATTATTTAGTGCTGGTTCTCCACACACTGCCCCCGTCTGCCGCTCTTCGTTCTTTTGGCATAGCGCAAAACAAACAAAAGCACAAAACGTGCGCATCAAGAGAGTCAAAGAGAGAGAGAGAGAGAGAGAGAAAACGCGCGTTTAAGCCGGTTGCAGCTTCTATAAGCGTGCGAGTGAGAGAGCAGCTGCAGCAGCGACAATAAAAAAGCTTCAAAATCAAATCAACAACAACTAAAAAGCATCTCCGGTGAAAATTTAACCAGTTTTTTAGGCCTTAATCCATTCTGAATCTGCCCTTCCCTCTCTTGTTCGCCCCCTGTGGACACACGCATCAACTTTTTTTTATCTAAGATTCCTCCCATTTTATTCGGTTGAAAATTGAACAAACAAGCGAGATAAACATTTAAAAACTGAAAAAGCAAGCACATCAAAATCGTCTGCCCGGCAGTGGCACATGGCACATGTGGTATGTGTGTGTGTTTGTGTGTGTGTGTGGGAGGGTCTTAACTAGGCGTTAACTGAGCTTAAATGGGCTTCAAGTGTCTCTAATTTATGGCTTATGGCTATGACAATCAAGTAGAACATTAAGGGCAGACAGTAGTCTGTGATTATACACAGATATGTGTATGTTAAAATGAGAAGGCTATAGAAGCTAAAAGAGAAAGAGATATGTGCATAAAAGTCAGATTACAGCTGCATATTGCATTCCCCAAAAGAACAAAGGCATTTTTTTTTTCTTTTCTTTTCTACTGCTTTATGGGAAAGACATTTATTTGGTTGATTTTTACTGCTTTTTAGGAGTTGAATATGAATTTCGGTTAAATTTTTGCGCACTTAAGACATAAAATTCCCAACAGAAATATTTAGTTAATTAAATTTCTTAGAGAGGTAAGGGGAATAGCAAGTACTTTGTCGACTGCTTCCCCCTTGCACTTAAGCCCTGGTGTAACATATTTTCCTTGCCTACTTTTCGGCTGATCATTCCAAGATCACTCCAATCAAAAAAAAAGAAAAAACATGAATAAAGTCCCATTTGAACAGCGCTTTCATTTCATTCATTGCCATTCCACACACACACTCTTATACATATAGGGTATTATATAGTATATAGTGTAGTACTCACCATTATTATTGCTGATGGCGAATCGCTGCTGCAGCTGCTGTGCCAGCGCCTGATGATGCTGCGCCAGCGGTGTCAATGGCGGCGGCGGCTGCTGCTGGCCCACGCCCAATTGCTGTGGCGCCGACTGCGAATGGGGCACACCGCCACTCAATGAGGATGTGTCCGACGAGCCATCCCCACCACCACCTGCTCCTCCACCTCCTCCGCCGCCACCACCACCACCAATGAGGCAGCCATTGGCCATGGAATTCTGCGGCTGGCCGCCGGCTCCTCCGTTGAACTGTTGCACGGAAATCGAATTGGGAAGACCATGCTGCTGTTGTTGTTGCTGTTGCAACTGCTGTTGCTGCTGCTGCTGGCTGGCGGAAATGAGGGGATTCCCTGCCGTGCCATAGGTGGTGGCATTTATGGAATTATTGGCCTGATTCATGGAATTATTGTGGACGGCTGAGCTGAGTAAAGAGCCATTGGCGGTGGCTCCACCTCCTCCTCCATTGTTGTAGTACGACTCCTCGCCTGCAAAAAGAGAGAGTGGAGAGAGAACCCACAAGTCATTCATAAAAGCTTTCAGATTCTTTCACCGGTAAACTTTTGTCTGCATAAAGCTTTTTTTTCTAGCATAAACTTTCACTGACTAACGCGCCATCTGTGGGCGAGTGGCGAAACTAAGTGCTTGCCAGGGACTGCCACACGCGGCATCAAGTTGAGGCAGGTTAGGGTCTGGCCTCCCCCTTTCTCCCTCTCTCTGTCTGTCTCTCATTTGAATGCACTTCGCGTTCTATTCTCCTTCTTTCTCCTCCTGTGCCTGCTACTACTCCTCCTTCTTTTCGTCTCTTGCTAATTAGCCGTCGGTTCAGCAAACTGATTAATTGGCATTTAAGCGACGCGTCGCGACACAGCGACGACAGCGACGACAGCGACGACAGCGGCCTGTGACAAGGCGCCTCCTTCTTAGTGGGCTTTCTCCCTCCTCCTCCTCCGCCTCCTCCACCTCCTTCTCATCCTTCTTTCGCCTCTTTCTCCGCCCCTGCCTTTGACCAATTGACGTCTTCGTCTTGTTGCCTGTCACGCCTCATATCAGCGCAAGGCGGAAGGAAGACAAGACTCTCGACGCGACTCCCGACGACTCGCGACTCTTCTTTGCGTTTAAGCAAACAATTTAGCAAAGTGCAAAGCTGTCTGGCAAATCGCTTGATAGTGTGGCAGGGAGAGGGGGTGTAGATTCCAGGCGCAAGGGGCGGTTGGTTGGTTGGCATAAGCCAACAGAGTTGGCTAAATCGTGCGTGGCTTATGGCCAATTTCCGCTATGGTTTCTGGCTCTTCTTTTGCTCATCGCAAATGTTCAAGAAACTTGCAGCAACAGTGGGGGGAAAATGTGATGTGGAAATGGTGAAGAGAAACAGTGTGGAGCAGAAACCGGAAGAGAATAAGTGTGGGGGAGAAAATGTAAGCGAATAAGTGAGTGAAAACTCGCGAGTATCTTGTGAATTCTAAAGAGAGTTGCAGGGGAGAAAAATAGGAGAAAGTCATGGTGACCAGAGGAAGGAGGGGGTAAAGGGCATTGCAGAGGGCTTAAAAGGAATGTTGAGAACGTTTTGAGAGGTTTTCAGGTGTTTTGTCTGAGGTATTTTCAGGTGCTGTTGGAAGCTGTTGAGCAATTTTTCTTGGTGGTTTGAAGAAGTGCTCTTTGGAAACTGTCAGTTTAACTTAGGGAAGGGGCAAGTTTACATGTAATAAATTATTTTAAAAAAATCATCTTAAAGCTTCCTTTAGTAACAGAAAAATTAATTCCTAACGGATGTATTAAGCAGACTTCCTTTAATACGTTAAAAAAAAAATAAATAAATAAATACCTTCCACGGTTACATGTCTCGGATTAGGGCAACTTTCATGCCAAATTCCTTTGCAAAAGCCAAAAACTATCCAACTACCATAGCTTATTCCTATAAAAAACTTTTAAGCTGAAGAAAACTTACCCGGTTCCGGGATATTCCCCAGCGGACTCTCCGGCAGCAGTATCCCCTTTTGCACCAGCTCATCCCGATTGGCACGTACAGAAATCTTGCGCTCCAAAGCTGCAAAAATACACAGAAGAGATATCCAACAGATACATGAGCATTTAAAGGATCTTCGGATGTGCTGGGAAATGGCAAACTTACATTTGGAGGCCGCTTCAAACTTTTCGCTCTTCTTTTTCCGACGCCACTTCCAGGGCTTGAAGAAGCGTCCCAGGGCGCTCAATTTGCTCTTCCGCTCCAGGGGCGGAGTGCGGGTGCCCGAACCGAGGCTGTTTGTGCGTATGGCAGCTCCATTCTGTTTCTTAGCTGCAAAGACAGAGAGAAAAGAGAGACAACAATTAGCATGTATCTCCGGCATTTCAATCAAAACGTTCCACGGAAGCGGAAAAAGGCGTTCCGCCCATTTTGGGGCCACCGGCAGTGGCTGTGGTTCGCCCACTTTTACCGGCATTGTGCGGCATGCGGCATGGGGCATGGAGCATTTGGCATAGCGGAATGTTGTTGCTGCTGAAAAATTGTACAAATTGCAAGGCAGAGGCAAAGCAGAGCGCGGCAGCGACAGCGGCAGTGGGGCAGCATTTATTGTGGCCACTCGTTGCTGCCTTTTGTGCTGCAATCATCTTTTGGTCTCTTGGAAATTAGGAATTCAAAGCGAGTTTATCCAACCCCCCCCCCACCCCACCACCACCAACAACACAAAAATAAGTTGCTTACAATTCTTTGGAAACATTTTAATAGCTGCAGGCATCAGCATTCGGCATTGCATACAAATGGGAAATCGACCAGTGAATAGTGAATAAATTCGTGATATTCCCAAGATTTTTCCAAGGGCTTTTTTACTTAATTAGGTAGGTAGCAAGTGGAGCTAAACTAGAGGCGGAGATGAGTTGCCTGAGATACGCTTTCATATTGATTTTTTCAAAGGGAAATAATTTTTAATAGATTTTTTATCATTTCTCAGTGATACTTCCACAAACAAAAAATCAAAGCCCCAAAGTGTTTCCTTCTGGCAGGATATTCTCTCGTTTTTTTTTTTGGGACTAGACAAACATGGAAATTCCTTTGCTGCTATTTGCATTTGGCTTTAGGAAATTTCTAAGGCAAACAATTGCTGAAAGAGAGAGAGAGAGAGAGAGAGAGAGGGAGTGCGGGGGTAGCCGGAGCAAGCCAGCAGAATGAAAGGTAGATAAGGGACAGGCTACAGGGACAAAGGCGAAAGGAGAATCAAAAATAGGCAAAAGAAAATATCGTCTCATGCTGTGTGGCTGGGACGACTCCTGACACACCAACACAGGAGCCGCCGCTCCCTTTAGAGTGTCTTCCATTCCCTCTTTCACTGGCAGCCTCTTGCTGACTTTACTTATCTTCAAAAGTCAGCTGAAGCTGAAGCCCGACTTGCAGGGCATATTCATAGGTAAGGCAAGGCAAATCAACATTTCGGGGCGAGTCTCGAATGCTGCTGTTGATGTGTAATAATTTACCTCGATAAGATTTTTTCTCTGCACTGCCCTACCTTCACTTTAGCATACCCTGCTCTCTCAGCCTCTTGTCTGCTGCTGCTGTCTCCCTCTGTCTGCCGTGAAGCTGTTGATGTTGATGCTGCCTACAGATAAGCTTTGTCACATACACACACGCACGCACACACACCGCACTCTCATGCACACCCACACGCAGACACACTTTAAAGTGCCTGCCTGCATTGAAGCGTTGAAATTAGGCTACCTACGAATGTGCTTGGTAATGGAGAGGGGGAGGGAGGGGAATAGAAATACATACGAATAAAAGCACACACAAAACAAAAAACTAAGCCAGAGAGGGGAAACAGAAAATGCTGGAGCAGAGGGGAAACAGAAAAGGCTGGAGCAGAGGGGAAACAGAAAATGCTGGAGCAGAGGGGAAACAGAAGAGACTGGAGCAGAGGGGAAACAGAAAAGGCTGGAGCAGAGGGGAAACAGAAAATGCTGAAAGAGACCACGAGGAGTAGAGGTTTAAGCAAACTCAGGAAGATGGGAGAGTACCAGCAGAGGCAAAGGGGAGTGCAAAACGTAGCCAGAGACAACTGTAAAACTACTGCAAATGGGCCAGCCAGCAGCAGCAACAACTATTTGGCTTCCATGATGATCTCTTCTTGCTGTATCATTCGTTTGTTCTCCACAAACTGGGCCTCTGAGCCACTGAGCCAGCCAACTGGGCAATGGAGTGCCAGTGCTCCAATTGTGGTCAATTGTTGGTCAACAGAAGCAGCAGAAGCAGCAGCAGCCGCAGAACCAGTGGCTGCCACGCTTCAAGTTACATAATAAAGTGACGAGGGGTGGGGGAAAGAAGAGGGGGCTGTGGGTGGGTTGAAAGTACAACATCTTTAAGTCACTTCTGTGTCAATTTGATGCGGAAAACTTTTGCAAGAATCAGCCACCACAGAGAAGCAGGAAAACCCCCCAGAGGGCGGTCGCCAATGTGACAGCGAGAACAACAACAATAAGGAAGGAATGAAAAATCTTTGGCTCATTTCGAATGGCGCCAACAGAGCAGACAAAAGGGTGCAGGGAGGAGAGGATTGGAGGAGGCAGGATGAATGGCAAATGTGGGGAAGAGACACATGTTAGTAAATGCTGATAAAGAAGGTATAGACGGAGGAAATATCCTTCATTTTTACACACATTCCCTATATATTTTATAAAAAAGTTAACACCCAAAATTCTATTATTTTCTGATTATTTATTATATTCCTGTCACATCTTTCCCCCAAAAACCAACATACCCTCTACAGATCATCAGATTTCTCAGTTCCCCCGTGCCATTACACGTTCCTTTCCCCCGTCCCATGTGCCCCGCCGTTCCATTTTACATTCCCAGCACGAGACCAAAAATTGTTGTGGCCAAAACCAACAGCAACAACAACATCAACAACAAAGCAACCAACCAACCAACCGATTCTCTGCTGTTTTCCAAAAACAATTTCTTCGCTTTTTCTGCTTATATTTTTTTTGGTATGGCCAGGAGGCCAGAATGTTGTGTGGGAAAAAAGAGACGAGAAAAGTCAAAGAAAATAAAGCAAAACTATATGCAAAATCCACAACACAGCGGGGGCGCGCGGGAGACCGGCTGCTGCTGCTGCGCAGTCAACGTCGTCGTTGTCGTCATATAATAATTTTATTTCTTCTCTTTTTTTTTGTAAGCTTTTTTCCATATGGGGAGAAAAAAAACCTGTTTTTGGGGAACAGCTTCGTCGTTGTCGTCGACGTTTGAATGAATGCAGCAGCCAGCAGCAGCAGCAAGCAGCAGCTTCCATCTCAAAGTTTTCAAGATTTTGGCTTCTAAAAAAACAACAACAATATTCAACGGCAACAGCTACAACAAAAGCGAGTGAAGGGCGCGGTACAACAGCAAAAACAGAAAGAAAAAAGAAGAAAAAAAATAAAGATAAAGATAAAGTAATGCTATGCGAACGCATGGAAAACGGGTTTTCGCGAAAGTTGTCGTCATTGTGGTTGTTTTAGTTTTTGCTGTAATTGTTGTAGAGTATACTATGGTGTAGGGAATTGTTGTTGTTGTTGTTGAAGTTTTTGTCTTCAGATTGCGTTTGTTTTTGGTGTAACTTGTAGTTGCTTTGGTTGTGTCGTTGTAGAGTAGAGTTACCTCTTTTATTTATTAGTTACATTTTTTGTTGTATTTACTGTTGCATTAATTGTTGTAGTAATTGTTGCAGTTTTTTTATTGTTGCTTTTTCTCGCTCCAGTGGCGTTTTTTTTGGCGCCCAACAGACGCGCGCACTTGAGGGCCAAAACCCAAAAGCCAAAACCGAGAGGGAGAGGGAGAGAGCAAAATCCACAAGAAATATGGCTGACTCCAGCTGAAAAAAAGTGTTTTTCTTCTTATTCGTAGGGGCACAACACAGGGCGGGGGGGGACATGCGAGAGGGTTACAAGAGTAGCGTATGACTGGAGCACAGCAGAGAGGGGGGCTTACAAGAGGCAAGTGTGAGTAGATAACAAGATTGGGGTATTGGGGCTGAGGGTTATACCATGTTCTTGCGGCAAAAACAAGCCATAAACAGGGGAGCCAAATGTCTGCAAAGTCAAGAAATAAGAGTGCTCTCTCTATCTCTATCTCTCTCTCTCTCTCTCTGGCACAAGACCCTGACAAATATCCATTAGATATGCGTGCGTATAAATTGTTCAAATAAATTGTTACCAGCAGTATGCATATTTTTCCTATGAGCAGATTATGCGATAAAGGGTTAGCGTTTTATCTGAATTTACACTTTACATTTATATGCAAATCCCTGGAGGGAAAATCGTTCAAATATTCATTTATTTATACACTTTTTTTTTGTACTTTTCCCTAGCCTAAGCCTAGCCTAAGTCTAGCCTCTAGTCCCTTCCCACATTCCACTGATTCCCACACTATATATCCATTTCTATCATATCCATATCGTATTCCCATTCACTGCATATTAATTTCCCATTCCCACGAATCCCCAAGAATTTTGCAATCCCCACCAAAACTTGCATTTGTAAGGTACGATCCGTAGTAGTACGAGATATATGTACAAATATACGAAATACAGACAAGATCTTATGTAAAGTTATGTCAATTGTCGTCGTGTTGTGTCTCCCCTCCAGTCGGACTGGCTTTTGAATAAACAAAGTCGCTCTGCTACTGATAACCGCACTGCAAATAAAACAGCGACAACAACAAAATATAAGAATAATAACTATAGGATTGACGACAACAAATTTATTTGCACAACGTGATGTGGTCAACAATTTGTTCAAATAAAATAAGAGGTAGCGAAGGGGGCGAGAAAAAACGACGCAAAAACAACTAAACAAAAAAAAAGATCGGTAGATGTATAAATTATTTATACGACTTGCAGAGAGTGAAAAAGTGAGACTAAAGCATGCGACAAGAGTTGTATATTTTGTCAGTCAAATAAATTATGGAAGAGGGCGACAGGGCAGACAGACAAACTGACAGACAGACATTGGATTGACACAACTTGTCAAAAGCGAAAATACCACAAGAAAATCCCAACCCAAAAGAAATTGCCGCAAAGAAAAACCCCAAAAGAAAAACCAAAAGTTAATTACAAAAGGAGGGGAGGGGAGATGGAAAGAGTTAGGTGAGGCAAATGTCAGACAGGTTCACGCTGATCCCAAGAAAGTGAAACAAACACTCGACGGTCGGACTTTGAAAAGCAAAAAGTGTAACAAATTTTTCAAAGCAGAAACCAACAGTTGAACAATTTGTTGCACGGAATATCAGTGTGGCTTGTTTGCACCTCATGCAAATTAAAGAGGATTTTG